TATGGATTTAGCACCTTTGTCAAAAATAAGGTGTTCATAGGTGCGTGGGTTAATATCTGGGTCTTCAATTCGATTCCATTGGTCTATCTGTCTATTCTTGTGCCAATACCAAGCTGTTTTCAGAACTATGGCTCTATAGTAGAGCTTGAAGTCAGGGATGGTGATGCCTCCAGAAGATCTTTTATTGTAAAGAGTTGTTTTGGCTATCCTGGGTTTTTTATTTTTCCATATAAAGTTGAGTATTGTTCTTTCAATCCATCCTCAAATTTGCTTGCTAAATTTTATGGTGTTGTGTAGCACTGAACAGTGTAGTAGATGCGGCAAGCCAATTCTGATATCTTCCAGCAGTAACAGAGACCTTGCCCTAGCTTCCAGGAATGCTTCCAGGAGACAGACCTTATCTGTTAACCTAATTTGAGAGTTGCTATCTCCTTGTCTATAATAATAGCTAGTAGCTGGTTATTCCAGGTGTATTCAAGGGTCAGTTCCTGTTCTCCAGACTTACTCCCAGACAGCTCTAAATGGCCATCCCATGATAACATCCTGCAGTGTTACCTGAGACATCTATTGAACCTGTCTCACAGCTCAACCTCTCCCTTTACCTCTCCATCAACTGTCCCTTCTAAGAGTACACCTGGGAAGATTTATGCTGTCATTTTTGGTCCACAGAAATAAGAAAAGACCCTGCAAAGGTTGTTTGTGGGCATTTTTGTTTTGCTTTTAATCTGGAGGAAAGCAGTGCAGAACTCATGAGTAATAAACTCTTAAGGGCTCAGCTGTAGGTATGATATGACTCAAGTTCTTGCTTGGCAGCATTGCCAATCAAAAAGTGCTGTTTGCCATTATTCTTTCTGTCATATTTCTTTGCTCTTCCATATCAATTCCTTTCCCTCTACTCATTTCAACTGTGTCATGTGCACACTTTAAATGGGTGACCAGAGAAGTACCCCATAGCTCTCATGGGCACCCATAAATCTCCTAAGAAGGCACACTTTCCTCAAAGTATGCATAGATTTTTTTTAACCAATGAAACCATGCTTTGGGGGAATTTAACTATCAAAAGCATGAAGCTCCTACCCAGACACATGGGGTAGAGAAGGAGAAACTGTTAGAGATGTACCCATTTGCTAATCAGTCTACCTATTCGTGAAGACTCTTTTTTATTTTTTTTTCCTTTCAGGAAACAATAACTATAGAGCAAAGAAACTTGGCTAAAAAGAAATGAAAAAAATGATCAGGGAAACTGGAGGACATTGCAAGTCATCCAGAAGACCCAGATTTTGTGGTGGTGTTTCTTTTCCAGGGATGGGAAATGGTGTAGAAATAATAATAATAATAATAATAATAATAATAATAATAATAATAAACTACCTGAAGTGGAAAGGGACTTTCAGTATGGGTACCTCAAAATTCTGTAGAACTCCCAATTTTACCTACAGTATAGATAACAAGAACATTTCAGATTCCATAACACTCTTCCTTCCTCGTCTGATTTAACCTTCGGGCTATATCTTTTATGTTTATATAGCCCATATTGTGGGGCAACGTAATGCTTGAGAATTCCCCCTTGCCTTGGCCCCTGGAGTCTAATGGTCAACCAGTTTCCTTTTGCCACTGAAGTTCCCTCTCAGCTCTACATTCATTTTTTTTTTTAATTTTCTCTTTTTAGGATTTTTCCCAGTGAAAAATAGTTAAGTTCTGAACCAGAGTAGAAGCAGAGGGGATGTAAAATATAAAGACCACCCCCACTCACTGGGATCAAACATGTTTTAACAGGACTGCTCAAAGCAATCTTTCTCTATGGTTGACCTCTTCCATTAAAGCAAGAAGTCCCTTCTCAGGATCCTACAGGAGTCCCTCCCTGACCCCCATCAACTCACACACCTGTGTCTGCCTCTGGCCCTGTCCTGTGAGCAGGGGAAAGTGACCATATGCTTTCTTTTGTGTTTCTCTTATGGTACTATAAAATCCCTTAGCATAGGTCTCTGACATCTCTTTGTAGCAGGAAACTGATCCTGGATTTTTCTTTTTTTTAAAGGATAGTTACAATGTGAATAGGCATTGTTGTAGGGAATTCTCTTTCTGTCTAAACAGAGGGTCTCTAAGATTCACACATGCGGATACCTTCTTTTCATGGTCTCAGTAACTCTTAAACTACAAAATGAAGTACTTCAACTTCTTTGAGATTGGTGTTTATTCATGGCCATAATGTGTTGGGCGGCAAGGTTAGACTAATGTGAATTCTGAGTCAAGCAAAGCCCGAGAAATAACATTATTTTCCTTAATGTATTTTATTCTATCAAGCTCCTTATAGCATGCCTTATCTGGCTTTTCTCTCCCCAACTGTTTAAAGCACACCACTCCAGCATGTTGACTCAAGACCGGAAAGGACAATGCTATTGTGGTGGCACAGGCTTTTCTGTGGCCAGTGTCAGCCAACAGCGGTTGCACGCTGGGCTGGCAGATTCTTTGGAGGAGCAGTCAAAGGGATTGTTAAATTTCATGCCCAGCCCCAAACCAGGAAGTGCTGCCTAAAATGAGCCCAAGACAAAAGCAATCCAACCTCAAAAACAAAACCCACAGTATCCAGAAAAGGATGTAAGAGCTTAAAATCTGTGCTTATCTGTCTTCTGGTTTGGATCACAGCAGGCAGGCTCCTGCTTATAACTGCTTATAAAACATTAGCAAACTTCCAGGAGAGAGAGAGAGAGAGAGAGAGAGAGAGAGAGAGAGAGAGAGAGAGAGAGAGAGG